CTGCATACAGTGCAAACAAGTTATAATTACGAAAGAAAAGGAACGATTATAAGCGCGAGAAACCCTTAGAACGTTAGCCCGGTAGAGGGAGGAGTTACATTGAGTGTTTACATAACATTATATCTCTCTATTATTATTTCTTGTAGTCACTCTGCAGGTGATGTCCTGATGGTGCAGCCAAGTAATCTAGCTGATGTTGTACAAGAATTCATGGCTCATCTAGCACTGGAACCAGAAAAGAAGTTCTTTCTCGAGCAGAATGATCCAGGTGTGTCTTTTGCTTCACCACAAAGTGTGTTTAATGTCATTTGAAACTACAGGTTGGCAAGTTTGGGCGTTGGCATTTCGTAAACTTTGTTACCTCATTTTCCTATTCGTCACCGTCGTCTCCGTGATGGTCATCAATAATTGTCATCGTCATCAATTAAGCTCTTAACTTTATTATGATTTTCTGTTCAAACTTGATTCAGTTAGTAATCACCTAACTCGTTGGGAAACACCCCTGCATTACCAGCGGTGTTGCCGATTATACAAAGTTAACTGAATTTGGCTTAGTTTTTAACAGTTTTACTGCCCTTCCAGCGGCTTTCAGAAAAGATTCCCATCGCGAGAAATGCGGATCAAATTCGAAAGCAATAGATATTGTAAAGTTACGCTGACTGCGTAATGGACTTGCCCTTCAAGGCAATTTTGAGTCAATCCCTTGAGTGTCGAAAACAGTGACTTGTAATGTAAGCAGAAGATTCGAATTTTCAGATTATAGCACTCGCGAAAAATTTAAATGTTCGCCGAAAGCGAAGGAATGACTAATTTTCCCCGGTGGAGAGGGTTAAAGTTGCATTTGTCACGGCACCATTAGCCACGCGGGGATGGCTGGTCAAGGCACTGAATGTCAATGCCAGTTGGCGTTGATTTCAAATAACAGTATGCGACTGTCAACGTCAGCCGACATCACATTTCGATGTGACATCCAAAATATTGCACAAATTATTTTTACAAGCGCAGGTGTTTAACTTTGTACTAACTGTGAATGTAATTTCACAGACATCCCCATTCCCCATCAGCTTCCTCAACCTTGCTCCATTCAGCAGCTTGTGGAACATTATCTGGACATTCAAGGTGTTCCGA